GTGTTTACAACCACCTGCTCTGAAACTGCAAAACTTTATTTTGATGTGAAGCTTGTGAAGAATGTAAGACTTCCCTGTTGGACAATCTCTTGCCCTCTTAGATAGTTGTGATTCCAACTGGACTAGTTTCCACAGTAGTAGAATTTGCAACTCAATCTTTAGGGAAAAGAAAGTGCTCAGGACTATACCAGGCAATGTAGGAACAAAGACATTGGCCATTGTTCAAGAGCAAACCAGGTCAGCACCAAGAACACGGGGATTCATTTCCTTTGAAATTGATCTCCCGGTACCTCACACACTTATTACAAACTCGCCTGGCAGCAAAGGCCTGCGGTCGTCAGAAAGCAAATATTTTTTCTCTGTCTTTTAGTTAGTAAATTATCAGCTGTAATTTTCTGCCATTGAATCAGTGTGTTTGTCCTGTGAGTATGGTGGACAATGACTCGGAACCTGAAGTAGGTGGCAGTGATGCCCAAGGGAGTAGTTCATCTGTGCAGATCCAACCCTACCTTAGTCTGAGGTGGTTCAGTCCCAAACTTGTCCCCAGGCTTTTACTGTCTCACTGAGGCTGAGAAACTTTTACCCAGCTCATCCCACACAGCAGTCTTCCATCTAAATCAGGGCCGGTGTTATTTTGGATGAGAATGTTAAGTGTGTGATTTGGTTCTGGAAGTTTCTTTGGGATGGAGTGAGTACATGCAATAGGGGAGTCTGACGAGTCTGACCTAGAACCCCATACTTCACCTTCTGAGGCTCCTGACAGTTTTTCTAGTTCTTATTGAAATATTTCTTCAAGCTCAAAAGTATCTACTAATACCTGTTTTTCCCTTAACATAGTATTTTAGAATAAATTAAGGGGTTCTGTAGTTCAAAAACTGGTCCACAACTTTGCTTACCATTTTAATAAATGCAAGGTAGCTTGGAATTGGGGAAATAAAACTGTTATCTGCTTTACACTTGGCACTTGAGCCTCCCTGGAGGTTCCACCATGGAAAGGGTAGCTCAGTGGAGTGATGGGAGATGAAGAGTTTGGAGCCTCTTGGCTATACGCCAGCACTTTTTCCAGTAAGCACTGGAAAGCCTGCCTTTGACTGTACATCCCCATGGGGCAAATGAACTGATAGCTAGAGAACCTTCTGCTGCAGCTTGAAACCTCTGCAGAGGAGCTGCAGAGTGGAGGTGTTGAGGAGGGGGCCAGGACCTACCTCTGCTGGTTCTCAGTCACTTTCTAGCCAGAGCATCACTATTACAGTCCTTCACTTTGTGAATGTCAGTTGTCTGCCTGTAAAGAAGAGATACTGCTGCTTACTATGCAGTGCTACAAAGAATAAAGCAAGTACTATATGTTCAGGGCCTAGCACAGTGCCTCGAGGGCACGCCCTTGAAGGACTTCAGCAAACCTCTATTCCTTTTTGCCTTTAAAACTTCATTTGTGAAGGCAAATTGTGGAATTGGTAAGGTTGCTTATTGACTGATTTGTTCAGAGATTTTGTTCAGGGACAAGTTTATTTATATGCTGCATTTCCTCTGATTAATGATCTCCCATTGAACTCACCATGACCTATAAGATGGTAAAATGATCTTCCTTTATTCATAATCTGTGCTATATTTGAAATTCTGGCTGACAGACACAGCCTCAGGAAGTCATGACCAAGCCCTCAGTTACAAGGATATTTTTTTTTTCCAGATTGAAGGCTGTGTTAATTATGTGTGCTCTTATTTTCTTTTGAGCAGAAGAGCTATGTACTTTTATCCCTATAGTTATCTCTTGATGTCTCAAAGTATTGGGCTGTTTCCCTTCATTTGGATGGGGAAGGAGAGGCATTGTAATTTGTCCAAAAGTGTTTGCTGTTTCCAAACATGGACAGAATGACTTATATTTAATGACTTATAATGACTTATAATGCTAAAGCATTACCATTGTTTTGTGTTTGGTGCTTGCAAACTTGAAACTTTAGGTATTATTAAAAGCTTTCAACACCTTCTCTTTGCCTTTGAAAAATAATCAGCATATTGCTTGCTTGTAGCATTCTTTCAAGGAAAGCCAGAGACAGTGTGGTTTAGTTTCTGAAAATCTAATTCCAAATGCAATCGCAGTACAAACTGGTTATACCTTTTGGGGGTACGTTAACAGACTATTTCTCCTTCTTGTTTTTGTTTTCAAATGCATTTCATATTTTCAGCTCTCCATAGTAAAACTAATTACTTGCTTGATGGTGAAGATTTTTTTGCAGAACTGGAGAAAAGACATGATAGATACACCTTGAATGTATGCCAGATGTACCCACAAGCGCCCTGACAAAGAACGGTCAGAGGGGAACAGAAATTCACACATCACACACACACACATTTTATCTTTCTGTTTAGAAAAAGTAGAAAGCCAGCTCTGTCCATGTGTGCTCCTGTTCTTAAATATTGTTGTTCCTCTAAATATAGTTCAGGACATTTGTCAGCGAACTGTGAATCTCTTGTTAAAAATAAAGTTGAAATTCAAATCTCAAAATAAATCAAGAGCTCACTGTAGCTCATTGCCACTTACATTTTTCAGTTTGGGCTGCTGAATCTAGAGCCTGTGGAATTCCATTGTGGGTGACCTTATTTAAATAATTATACAAAGGCTATCAAATGTTATAAACCTAATGGCTACTTTTGCCATTTCAGGAGAATGCTAAAAAACTTAATTGATTTTTAAAGATATTCTTTATATTATATTTTATATATATATTATACATAATGGAGACAAGGAAGTAAAATGATTCATTTACGATGACATATGAATCCATATTTTCTCTCTCTGCAATGCTTTTACAAAACTCTTGTTAACCCTGGAGTTGAGAATATCTTTGACATGCAGGATTCTTGTCACAAGATTGCCTCTGCTGTCTCTAAAAAGAGATGCATGTGTTTTTATTATTCCTTGCAGCCACGCACCACTTCTGCATTCTGCTTTCTAGGCAACATACTCTCTTTTAGTCTGTGTATTAGCCTTCGAGGGTCATGCCTGGCCTTCAGAATGTGTGCTTTGCGTTTTTACTTTCTCGTTGTCAGTAGCACTTGCCTGAGAAGGTCAAGGATAAAATCTTGCTTCAATCAGCAAATGCCCACCCTTAGAGAGTTCATTGGAGCGGGAGTTGAAGAGGCAAGGGCCAGATGCTTTTCATGGTACACTCACTACCACCTTTTTGATATCACTGATGTGCAAAAGGACATTCACTTTGTTTCAAAACTACATTGGCACCTTTGTTTGGTTTTGTCTTTATTTTCCCCCTGTTCTACATGTAACCATTCAGAAAGCTGCTAAGCATTCCACTGCAGCGGCTTTTGTGACTTGTGCCAGAGGAAAAAATCATAAGCACGCTGTATTAACCAGGCAGTGTAAAAGCATATTGCAAACATTATTATCGGAAGAGAACATCTTTACAAGCTGTAATCATTTTGAGCACTAATAGCAGCAGGAACAGCGATAACCAGTGGATGATAAACTGAGAATGGATGCCTGAGTGTCTTCAGGAAATCAGCTTGTAAATCGGTGGCCAATGGGAGGGAAGGAGACACTGACTTAAATCTAGGCAAAATCTCCAACCTCTGACATGGACAGAGAAAAGAGATGTCCTGGCAATGTGAGGTGAACAGGGTTGAGGAAAATAACAACCTATTGTAAGGTAGTTTCTGGTTATTTCCTACATTTGTTTTACCTGGCTCAATCTAGAGGCATTCTTCTACAAAAGGAGTATTGCTTAACATTATAGATATGCATGGAGTCACAGGCAGCTCTGCTGGATGGTGAAATACTGCCACCTTGTTATGATAGGGGTAAAATGAGTCCAGCTGACAGAAGGATGACTCTCCATGTTCATCAGAAAGGGTTGATGCTCCAAAACCTGGCAATCCTGGAAACCCCTAAGCAGCCGGATCGCATCCCTCAGGGTTGCAGCCTCAGGTCCCTGAAGTGCCTCATCGTTCCTGGCAGAAATCAGCTCTGGGAAGACACTTTGAAGTCCTCTTCTGAGAGGACTGGCATCTGCACGGAGTCTGTACTCCTTCCCCACTCTGCCTGGTGGATGAGACCCTCCTTCCAGCTGGCCCTGCTAGACCTGTGAGCCCCCTCCTTCCAGGCGCCGACTTTCAAGTTAGTGGGAGCTGCGCCTGGCTGGTGGGAGTGAGGAGTTGGAGGGGATTAGGAAGGCAGAACCCCTTCCACACTGCTGCGTGGGATTATAGGTTTTTGCTTCTCCCTCTCTTTCATAAACTTATTTTTGCTGTGAAATGTGTGTCTTCTGGCTAAAATAGAAAAGAATTGGCCTGGCTTTAAAGAACCCTCCATTACTAAGTTGTTTATACAGAGTGGACTGTGACGAGCAGCTGGCACCAACGTCACCAGTGCCAGGACTGGAAACTTGGGCATTTACCCATTTCATTTAGGCTTACATTGTGTGCAGGCTGAGGAAGGGCTGGGGAATGTCAGAAAATTTACAAGCGAATCCTGATGCTCTCTCTCCTGTTGTCTCATTTTCCAACTACATGGAGCCAGTTGCTTCCCCTCTCAGAACCTGTCTTCCTTATCTGTAAAATGGAAACAGAACTCTTAGCTCTTAGGGCTGTTTGCAGGATTAGAGGATGTGGTATTCTTATGCACTTTATGTGGTTCTGGTCCATCTCAACTTCTTCATATCTTATATCCGTTATCATTGATCAAGACTGTATTTACGACATGGTCGAACTTTTACTGAATATGAATTAGGGCTAAAGGGCAACCATTGATAGACTTTAAAAACAATACCACCAAAATAATTGTGAATACTTCTCTGTAAGTAGTACTCCAGATCCAGGGCAAGACTGTTATCCCATAAGTAGAAGATTGGGATTTTCTAAAATAAATGGCTACCGGAAGAGGATACCCGCATCATTTGTAGATTTGTCCTTGAGCACGGCCCAGCCTGGTTTAAGTTGTCTCAGTTTTGTCACTCAGATTTGCTTCTTGTCTTTCTTTCTGTTTTTAGTTGTTTGGATTTCTCCCAAAGTATTTGTGGCTGAAATTCCTTTTGGACTCTGAGCTGCCTTTTTCGCATAAGCTTTGGACTGGAATCAATAGAATGTCAAGATGCCAGGCACATTCTGCCTAATAGCAGGTGGGTGTCTGCTGGACAGTGTGCCTGATTTGCCTGACAGTAACAAATTTAGGGCAGAATTAATGAGCCAGAGAAGGTACTGTTGATGTTGCAGGATTTCTGCAATTTCAGAAGTAACTTTGCTTTTCCCTTCTTATGGAATTCTGTTTGCACAAGAAGTATGCATTCATATATGTGTATAGGTATGCATGTAGCTTTTTATAATACTTTTATTATTATGTTGAGTTAACTTATTATTGGAAAATTTTATTCACACATATTTAAAAGACTTTAGCAGGGTTTAAAGTAATGGTTGGTCTTAATTTGTTTAATGTTCAAACAGAAGAAAACATGCAAAAGTTTAGTAAATTACTAAAGTTTTTTTTATTGCATTTTACCAGGACACATTTTTGTTATGTAAAGGGCTCATGTTAGAGACTAACTGGTGGGCAGACAGCGGGTCTTTTGGGGTGGTAAGTAAAAGGGAATGCTGTTGGAACCAGATGCTATTCCCTTTGAATCTTGCATCTGCTCTTTAGTGTGTGTTGAAAGCCCTCACTTCCTAAGTCCTTTTAAAGACTAGATGTAGAGACGCAAATAAAGATGCTTCATGTGTATCATAGGTGCTGCATAAATACTGGTTTTCTAGCTAACCCATAGAGACAGAAGGCCAGAGTGATGATGTGGGTTTCTTTCATGGTGGTACATCTCCTGGCCTTTTTGTTGTTCTTGTCCTCTTGTGACAGCCTTTCTCTTGTTTCAGTTTTTAATTTCAAATATAAACTCATCTCTGTAACTCATACCTTCTAATTGTCAACCACAAATAACTTTTAAATTTATGCGACCTCCCACAGTAGGATGCTATTAAAACATCCTCATCCAGCTTTGGGCAGAAGATGAAAAAATGGAAACGCCACTTATGCAAAGCAGTACTCATTTGCTGGGAGATGGTCTGGAGGCAGCGGCAGGCACTTTGTATTCCAGATTCTAGAACAGAGCAAGTAGTGCTCTGAATGACAAGCTTCTGGCTACACATGGCTCATTATAGAATGCCACTTAGCCCAGGGAAGACCAGCCTCTCTCTTTAGTGGTCAAACAAAGGAAAAGAATAGCTTGCTGGTACCGTGGTAGTTTCATTCAAACATTTTAGAAAACTCTACCACGTCTCTACTTCTTGAAAGAATATGGTGGGTGGTTATTCCCTTTTTGTAGGCTCACAGCCTCCACCTTCCTGGGCTTTCATAGTCCCAAGTACAAAAAAAGTTAGTACCTGAGATTAAAGAGCACTATTTTCATGGGGAAGGAAAGTTTAAATTCTCTGCATGAAATGATGACCTGATGCACGTCCTTATGAAGTTTGTTTTACAACATCAAGCTTTAAATTTACGGCATTGGACTTTATATAATAAAGTTATCAACTGTGATTCTGGGAAAGAACTGTTGGTTGATCTGTGAGGTTAGGAGAAGGGTGTCCCAAAGTTCTTTTCCTACATTTCATTTTGAATGAAAAGTTATAATATTTTGGATTATTTTGCAGTTTCATTATTTTGTATGTTCCACCCTCAGATGGGAGTTACAGCAAATGTGAAACTACGGCATTTCATTTTAGTTCAGGTCTTAGCCTTTGAGGGGTCCAAGTCTTGGCTGTGGTTGATAGCTGCACCTGCATCCATTCATCCACTCTGGTGCTAACATGTGTCTTGCTGTATAGTGAGGAACATGGAATTGGATCTCCTTCCCGTGTAATCAGTACCACTCTGCAGTCCGTGTGACACACAGAGTTAAGTATATGTGTAGGTGCTGGAATTTTGGTATTATTCTGTTCAATAGCCACTCCTTTATATGCAACTTAGCCGTGTGATTATACGACATGTATATCCATGAATGTGTGGGCATATAAGATGTAGTTATGGTTTCTTTAAATTTACAATTCTCTATTAAAGTCACAGAAAGCTTCAGTTGGAGACCTGAGGAAAAGGTGGAAGTTATTTGCTCTTGAACTCTCATATATCTTTTTAAACCCCATTTGTTGTTTTCATTTGTATTTTATATTTGTTTGAGGAAGTACACATGATGAAGTTGGTTAAGCAACAGTCTAGAGTCAGGACATTTGAGCTCAAACGCCGTTCACATAAGTTTTGCGCAAGTCATGTATCCAATATTGGGCCAGTTTTTGCACGTGTTTTTGGGAATCACTGAGGAGCGAAGCTCAGAATACTACTACTTAGGTTCAGTGAAGACATCTTAATCTACCTACTAGTCAGGTGCCTGGCACATGCTCAGCCATTCAAGAAATGGTAGCTACTGTCTTCATTGTAATCATTTTCGTGATATGCAGAGTGAGAATAATAATTAGTCTTATCTTAAGTAGTCCTTATAAGGACACCATGAGACACTGATATACAGATTTGCTCTGTGGGAATTGCTCAGTAAATCCTGACTGTTTTTATTATTAACTCAAGAGGAAAGCACCTAACTTTGAGAACTATTAAATAGTGGCTATTCAAAGGAATATCATTCTATAGGGTCTTATGCATGCTAGATATACTTTGATTTTTGCCATGTATTCCTATAATTTTCTGTCCCATTCTTCTATTTCAAAACTCTAGAGGTCCAAATGAAGCTACGTCCCTTTTCTTTCCTCCCTCCCTGCCCTTATCTAAAATAGAAAGCTCTCTGACAGGACAGAACTGGGGGAAATTCCCATGTGAGGAATGAAATTGCCTGTGTGAAGGGTTAGGGCTTTAGGAACTCTGTGCAGAGAATCCCTGAAAGATAATCTCTCCAGGATGCTGAAAATTACAGGCAAAAATCGACTTTCAAGGTTAAACTGCTTCTCCCAGGACTTCTAGATATATACCTAAGGCCCATGCATTTACCTGTGGTGTCAACCTCATTTTTATGCTACATTGCAGTACAGATAGAGAAGAACATATCGAACACATATATTTTATTAAATCAGAAATTAAAGAAACTCTTCATCAACTCCAGGATTCTTGCAGCTGTAAAGAGGATCAGTTGGTTTTCTCTGAATCATAGCTGCAAGGAGTTAATCCATTGAGCATCTGAAGGGCACTCTGCGCCCTGAACGGAATTCCAATGTGGCCTAACGCAATGAATTTTAGCAGCAAACACTCCTATTTTGGCAACCGTTGCTTGAAACACCAAATACTGCAAGAATCAGGCCACAGATGCCTTGGAGAGACAGACGCTCTGAGCACATCCCAGGACTCCTCCAGGATAAAGTGAGAAGCGCAGCTCCTGGCCCTCTTCAAGAATATTTCTTCAAAGCACTGTGCAAGGAAGGAAATAGAGCATCTTGTGCTGAGTGTTGACTCATGCTCCGGAAAGGGGAAAACAGGAATCTCTTGAGAATCAGGCAGCGGGAGCAGAACTTCTGCCAATCACAAGTTAATCTGAAGCTAATCGGAATCTGACAGTGGCTATGTGAATGTTCTAGGAGTAGCTGGTAATTGGCTTTAGTTTTGCTATTGATGGACTCTGTAGCATGGTGGATTATCTTTATCCTTTCAGTAAGATTTTTTATTTATCCGTCATGGAATATGGGCTCCCACACATGCACACCAGTGAGGTTGAAGGCTCCTGGAGCCAGGGCCTGCACTTAAAGCACTGGTGCCTTAACCTTTCTGAGCTCTGGTGAACTGCGATTCCTTTGCTACTTGCCTGGAACATCAGTGTGAAGCAGTGAGTTGATTAATTTTTACACAGAACTAGGAAGGGCCTCTACTGAATGGAATGTGCATGGACCAGGTTGCACGCACATGTGTGATATATCAGGACGTATTTTCATGTTTAGATCATTAGAAGAAGAAATTCCATGAAAAAATTGCTGAAAACTCTAACAGAAAAATGTAGGGGCCAATGAAAGCTGGGAAAGGCTTTTTGAATCATCCAGTGTCTTATTCCTGTAATTCTGGGAAGCAGCAGGCATGGAGTGCCTAGACTGGGTGATGTGAAACAGTCAGACTGTGAGGTTCTTCATTAGACAATCTGCCCTTCTCTCTCCCCTTCCTGCCTCTCAGGACGTGACAGTATGGCCTCCAGAGCCACGGAGGACAGACGTTCTTCTCTGGGCCCCAGTACCCGCTGCTCTGCTCACAGGCAGGCAGAGAATCGGCCACTGTGCAGTGGCTGGCGGCTGCTGCAGATGCCCTCTCTCTCTCACAGGGTCCTGAGTGTGCTCCGCGCGGCTTTCCGAGCCACGCAGCGTCGGTGTGCAGGTCTGCAGCTGCACTTAGGCGAGAATGCGGGTGGTTCAGGCGTCTCCGGCCCCACCTTCCCCAGGCCTTCTGTGTGGGAGCTATAGGAGGCTTTTGTACTACTGCTTTTCATTGCCAATGGGGCAGCATCCAAAAGGCAAAGTGGGAGTGGCTGCAGGAGTGGTGGAAGCAATGAATAAAGATATAAGAGCACTAAAAAGGCAAGCGACAGCAAAGGCCTCCGTAGCATGGTGAAAGCAGAAGGATATTTAACTTAGCACCGGGAAGTGTGATTGGCATTGTAGGCTGCTCCTCACTGGCTGAGGGACTCCAGGCCCAGGTTTCCTCCTTTGTAAAGTGGTGGCCCTAATCTACCTACAAGAGGGGGAGAAATGAAGGGAGCTGATGCCTGTCAAACCTTCTGTCATCAGCACCACATAAGCCTGTCCCCTTGGAAGCCTTCTTTCCTCAGGGGCAACTGAGTACAATATCTGCCCTGTGGGTTGAAAGAGAACAACCATTTACTCTGTCTTTTTATTTCTCTCACTGATCTCTTTCAGGTGTGGTTTATTCCAGACCAGCACTTTTCAGGGTGGTCTTCACATTAGACTACACTTATCCTGCCTTCCCTACTCCTAGGGAGCTGTTTAGTGTACCGTTCTAACACTTGAGATTATCTTCATTTTTAAAAGGTGAAACTTTTTTCATTTCCAAGCACAAGTGTAAGGCATATTTATTGTGGATAATTAAGACTATCTAAAGGCAAAGGGTCAAATAATCATCCGTTGTAATATCAGCACC